GAGAGAGAGAGAGAGAGAGAGAGAGAGAGAGAGAGGTAAGTAAGGTGGTGAATCAAGCGAAGCGAAGCAATGAGTGGGTGCCATTCACGTGTGCGTGCACTTGCACTTCTTTGCTGCATCGCTCTCTCTGTGTTGACGTGCCCGACAGTCCTCGCCGAGGACCCTCCGCAGCCCACGTGGAGCAAGGAGGGCTGCAGCTCTGGCTTCTCCCTCTGTGCCAACGTCACGACAAAGGAGTCGTGGGCCGACGGTGGCAAAAACATCTACTTTTTAGTTGACGTGCTCCCCGACCAGGACGGCTTCAACAACACCAACGTCACCGTATGGTATGTGGGCGAGAACTACCAGGATACGTGGGCCTATCACCTGAGCAAAATACACTTCAATGTGGTGCGATTTTCGCCCCGCGGTTCCGACCTTGCGTATCCGCAGATTAACTGCAGGCCCGAGTATTTCAACGAGGATCGAAATTGCTACCCCAGCGTTTCTTGTGCGGAGGAGATTGCCCGCTCCGGCCTGAACTTGGCGCGGTATTCCATTGAGGAGACTGCAAATGACCTTGCGTGGGTGCTCGAGACGCTGGGAAGTGGCAAACAGAACGTCGTTGTTGCGGAGGGGCTCGGTACATTTATCGTGCAGCAAATGCTTCAGACCAAGAAGGAACTCGTGAATGTGTCGGTGATCATGGCTGACTTCACACACCCGGAGCACTTCGACACCTTTGAGAGCTTCAACGGTTACGACGGTGCTCTGCAGCGGTTGCTGCGGTACTGTGATGATGCGGAGGGGTTTATGTGTGCCACCCGAGTGGGCGCTTTCGAGGGGATGTGGAACCGCTTTGTCAACGTAATGACGGCAGCGAAGTTGGGCACGCTGAAATGCAACACGCGTCTGCGGTGGGGCGTAAAGCCGGAGGAGATGCACCGCGAGTACCGCGCTGTTGTAGCCGCCCTCCTCAAGAACCCACAGCACTTCTTGCTTGAAGGACAGACCGCATTGGTTCAGCTTCTGCCGTCTTTCATCTATCGTCTGCAACGCTGTAACGATGGGGATGTGGCAGCCCTGGAGTTTTTGTATGGCTACATCACTGCACCTCGAAGGGAGCGGTGCCCACCGTTTATACCGCAGCGGTACAATTGGCTGGTGAACGAGCTTACCTTGGTGCCGCCTATGGTGTCGCCGCAGGAATTCCTCGATGAGATGTCGCTAACACGCCTGGTGGTGCCGAACATAACGGCGGTGCAGCCGTTCTTTGACGTGTACAATGCGTACCCAAAGTACAGGGTTCCCAACAGGAGCATCGCCAAGACAGAAACGAAGATGCTGCTGCTCTTATCCGATGTTGATCCGGTATTTCCATTTGTGCCAGCCTCGTTGGCCGCCAACGCGTACGGGGCGGATGTTCGCATTCTGCCACACCAAAACAGCTTCCCCGTGGCCACCTCCGCTGAGGATTGCATCTCTAGGAATCTGCAGAGCATCCGCACGGCAATGAAGTGGACAGAGGCGTCGCAGTGCAAGCTGACAGCTGATTACAAGCTGGACTTCAACCTGGAAACGAAGAAGTACTACGGGGTTGTGGACGCATGGGAGTTCACCACTTCAAACGCGCCAGAAATCCTCGTGAATGCAACGTCAACGTCCACCGCGCCGTCGCCGGGGGAGCCCGGGCACGACGAGAAGTGCTCCAAAGGGGGAACAGTTGCCCTCGCCGTGTTTTTCGTCCTGTCGCTGGTGGCGCTGGGGGGCGTGTCGTACCTCTACTGGAGACAGTCAAGAGTGCCAAAGTTCTCGGATGACTTCTACTCCAACCTCAGCCGCTGAGATCAAAAAAGAAAAAAAAAAAGAACCCAAGTGAAATAGAAGCAAAGAAAAAAAAAA